TCACTTGACTCTGATGATGACTTCCGCACAGGTTGTCGAAACGTCAGTCACTGCCACCGACAACAGTCCTTCTCAGGACTACACTCACCCGGACGATCAGACTACACCTTCATATCTAAAAGTGAGTTGAAAGCGTGAATCAAATTGATAACAAAGTTAAAATGGGTATATGTGTGTGTGTGTGTGTGTGTGTGTGTGTGTGTGTGTGTGTGTGTGTATGTGTGTGGGTCTGGGTGTGTGAACGATTGTGATTTTGTGACATGACACTATCATGGAATAGTATTACAAACTCAACATTTCACAAAATTATTCCTTTAACAATTCTTTAGCGTCTTTAAAATACACCCTGACTAATTCTCCAGCTTTTTCCTTTTCAGGTACGAGTTTTAAGAGTTCTAAAAAGACTTTGTGCGATAGATCTTCTCTCGCGTCATGATTGTCAGGCTGGTTTTATAATACAGTATCTCCTCCTTGCAGTCATCGCATACGTAGGGAAACCCACTCCTCCTTCTCTCTCCAGTACACCACGGTAAATGATAAATACCCTCACCTATTCATCTATATTTATAAAAGATAAAATTGCAAAAGTTCTCATTAGCTGACATCACTTCATAGAGAAAACATGACTGAGTCGCGGCCAACTCGTGCTATAGCTCTTAATGAGCAGCTATTAAAATTGATGACTATCAAAGGAGGGATTGAATACAAAGAGCGCATTCTGAAAGAATTAAAGCAACATCAAGCATATGGCATGTTTCCTAAAGGATTGTACTCCACCTCCATTCCTAAGATGGCAACTGCAGAGGAGCAAGACATGGTAGACAAAGCCTGTCATGATTTAAAAACGGTGGTGTTGTGTCAAAAGATTTTAGAAGTGAAAAATCAATTAGCTAAAGATCGTGCAAACTACGAGCAAAGAAAGATAGAACGAGATAAAGATAAACGTGAATTACCACCTCCACCACCTGAGGAAGTCAGGATACCACTATCAGACGTTAAAGCTGAATTAGAGGATTAATTACGTAAAAAATTTAAAACTTTGTAAAAATGTAGAATGTAAATAAATACCTTTTGATCATCCTCTTTATGTATCGTGATGATGGTGAGGATTACTTTAAATTCCATACTAGGGAATTCTGATTTCGTTATCATCCAATGATAACTTAACCAATCGAACATAGCATACAAGGTCCTTTCTAGGGGTAGGGACGGTTCGAAAAATGCATATACAGGTATCTGGGTAAGCTTACCTAAAAATCTCGTCAAAGGTAACGGTAGGAGTTCTTCGGCTTCCAGAGTAAGTTCACATACACTAGTCATATCATATATCCACAACCATAGTTGAAGTGCGGTAAGTAATCCATCACTTAAAGACATGAGTAGATTTTCATTCTCGCTAGGTTTTCTTTGCGGTTGAATATGAATTCCAAAGGTAATTTCCTCCATGACTCGATCTAAATAAAATTTTGATCTGTTTTTACCATGGGTAAATTTTACATCTATGAGAGGCTGTTTCCAATCATAAGAATGGTTGAATCGTTGCTCATACCAAAAGAAAAATTGTATTAAATCTTGAAGGGATGGTTCATTACTCCCACGCAGTCACTCGTTTCACATAAAGTTAGAAATAAACTGATCATAAGTTGAAAAAATCATTTATTTACAAAGAAAACATGCGAAGCAAATAGCTATTCTATCTATGAAACACACTAATTCATCAAATGTTTCTGAATTCAATTAGTCTAAATGGCTTTCTTTGTTTTTCCAATGACAATGGGCTCTGGTGGAAACACCGTCGTCCAATAGATACCTCTTGTCATCAAAGGAAGACATTGCGGTTTTGGCTTGTTCTTCGGTGTAGATGGTATGCTTGTTAATCATGAGGTGTACCATGCTATGCGTCTGTTGCTTTCCACTGTAGAGACATTTCTTATAATCCTTGAATCGCATTTCTAGATTCCTTTCGCCGTTTTCTTCTCCTGTCCTTTCCCAGTCGTCATGGCATACATTTTAGGTCTTAGACCCACAAATTCGATGACGGGTTCACCTGCATTTTCATCTTTAAACTTGCCAATGACATTTCTGTTAGCGGTACTGTACAGGGGGTGGTCTTTGAGATAATCTGAGGTGTCATAGTTATCTTCATTTTCCTTCATGTCATGGTAGACATCTTCTGTTTCAATGTGATAGGTCATAGAGTCTGTGTCAGTAAACAGCAATCGATCCTTCTCTGGACCATACTGCTTAAGGATAACATCATAGTGGAATTGATACATCCACAGTTTAGACAATTCTAACATAGAGAATCCCGTGTGAATAGGCTTGATCCTCTTTAGCACCGTCTTCAACAATTCTTCGGCAACAAAGCATGTCTCTCCTTCATCCTCTACAAACTTTCTGCATTCATGATAAGAAGGTTTAGCCACCAACTTGTGAAATCTCTTTTGAGTGGTGGCAAAACAAATGTTGTGATGTTTCCGTATATTCTCCATGGCTTTACCATAGACGCTAATGTTCATCAGCTTAAAAAAGTCTTTTTCAAACGCATTAAAAAATTCCAAAAATCGAATGGGTTAGCATGCCATTTAAACATAGTTTCGCTTTTTTTTACGAAAATCTTAAAATATATTCGTTGTATTTCAGGTGGTGGTGGTGGCGGGTTTAACTCCAGTGGAAGAAGTGGAAATAATTTTCATGGAACCAAAGAATGTGGTGGAGAAGGTGGTAAGGGATTTATTCAGGGAGGGGTGGGCGGGAGATCCAGGTTTCACGATGTCCATGGTGGGTTTGGTGGAGGTGGTGGAGCTTATGGGAAAGGAGGAGGAGGACGAGGGGGAAGAGGAGGAGGAGGAGGAGGAGGAGGATACTCTGGGGGAGGCAGTGGAAGTAATGGTCTTGACACCTGTGGGGGTGGGGGAGGTTCTTACAACGATGGAAACAACCAGGACAATAAATGTTGTTACAACAACGCTGGTCATGGTCAAGTGACTATTACGTTCCTTGAGTAAAAGAAGTCTCCCATCTTATTTTTCATTTGGTTTACTTTTAGCCATCATTTCTTTCGGTCATCTATTACATTAACTGAGCTCGGCGCTTTTTTCATAGTTAAAAATTCCAAATAGGGTTCTAAAAGTTGAGATAATGAAGAAATTTTTTTTTTTCAGAAATCGAGTCTCACTCGTTCTACTTTTTCACCAGGGTCTTAAGGAAAGATCCCGTTATCGCACAAACCAATCATCACACTGTGCAACCTAAAACGATGAGAAACAATTCCAGATTATTATATCTTCTGGAAGCTTAGGATTGAGTTTTGCTTTTTCTTTCATATCAATCCTTTGATACGAATCTTCACTGACCTTCTTTTACCAATGTTCAGTGAGATCAGTGAAATTTTGAGATCAAACAGTAAAGACGCCTGTTACACTGTAACAGTCTGGAATCAGTATGGCTTTTCGAACGTAGCACTAATTTTAACATCGAGATTGTGTTGTCAAATGATGACGACCAACATAAAGGGATAATGATAAGCACGAATTTTTCAAAGTTGAG